AGATAGGGAGGAGAAGAAAAATCCACCTTTCATACTGAACAAAGCTTCTATGGAAAAATACTTTTCAGCATAGTGGTGAGGCTAGAAATGTTCTAAAAAGAGAACTGTACTAAATTAATTACTATAAAACAATAGAAGCTATCATAGACGTAGCTTAAGAGGTAGTGAAGGACTCTACCTACCTAGGACTAACCTCAAAACAACAAACAAAAAAAAATGCATTTCCAGTTCCCAACAACCAACTTAGTAAATGAACTTTGTGAACAGGACCTTTTTCTGTAATTGCATTTATTCCTTAGAGAAAAGTTAATGGTTCTTATCAGAGATTCTTGTCTTTTAGTATAAATGAACTAGAATATTGTATCGTTACTCACTACCATAAAGCCTGTAGACCAATGAAAAGTCCCTGCAAATATTCGGTAGGATGGAATGTCTTACATATAAATATATTCCATGGTGGTATCCATAACCATACAATGAAAAAAAGCCATTTTGCAGGAGTTTCGTTTGCAATATTCTCCCTCACTTAGCAGTTAAGAAAATGAAGTAACATAAAGTACACTGTAAGCAAGTTAGTTCAATTTAAACAACTAACTAAATCTATTAAATGCTCTGGGACAAGGGAGTTAAACTAACATTAAAGCAAATGCCGAAAGCCAGAGAACCATAAATACTAGTATTGCCTCACAGCTTGTTTCTTTACAGGGAAACTGTTCATTCTGCCCTCATTCCTGTACACTGTAGAGATATCCTAGATTAGAAACTTGGTTCATAGCTTAGTGAGACCTAGTTTTCTGGAATCAATCACTGAGCCTTTTGTATCATAACTGTCCTAAATAAAATTATTTTTAAAAATTAACCTCCATTGTAGCTGCTGTCTCTTTAAGTTCCACGTCTGTTAACATGCCATAAATTAGGAACAAAAAATACACTTCCCCCAGTCGTGAAAGCCAAATGGTAGAGCTGTTTGGTAATTATTTGGTCTCTGGTGATTCATTTTATCTGAAATTCTAGTGATTAGATTGTAATGGTTAAAACTGATTTTTCTATGAAGTTGGGGGAGGCTTTAATTATATTCATTTTGAGGTGACTCAAAAGAAATGAGTGAATTCCTTACTTTTTAAAGATATATTAACTCTCTCTCTCTCTCTCTCTCTCTCTCTCTCTCTCTCTCTCTCTCTC